GGCCGCTTCTGGAAGAAAGAGATCATCATAAAGAGTCCCTCTTTCTTCATAAAGTCAGCCAGCTGCTGGCCCCTACGGTTCCGTTGCCCTACTCCAAATTTCCCTACCTTCAGCTCACCGATTTCTCTTATGCCTAGTTTTGCGTTGAAGTCTCCCATCAACACCGTGTAGTGGGTTTTGGAGGAATGCATGGCTCTAGAAATATCCTCATACATTTCCTCCACCTCCTCATCGGGATGTGCCGAGGTTGGTGCGTAGACCTGTATGACCTTCAGCGAATACCGTTTGGTGATTCTGAGTATCAGGTACGCGACCCTCGTCGACACACTCCCAATCTTTACAACGTTGTGGACGACACGACTTGTGGACGATAAATCCGACACCTCCTTGAGACAGATGGTCGCCCTCCCGCTGATAGAACAAGTTGCCGGACTCGAGGATTACCGTGTCCTTCCCCTCTCTTCGGACCTCAGATATTCCAATAATATGCCAGCGCAACTTGTCTACCTCTTCTTCCAGCTCCAGTATCTTCTCGTCAGTCCTCAGGGTGCGTGCGTTATACGTTGCCAGGTCGAGTCGTCGTAGATGGCAACCGAACCTCAACCGGAGATTCTTAGCACCCCCTGCCCCGCCGTTACCATGGTCGCCACCGTAGCCAGGAATAGCGGGGCCGCCGGGGACTGGGGGCCGTTTATTTGCGTCGTTGCTCATGGGGGGATATTTGCCATAGTTGCCACGCTTGGCGAGCGGGTTGGCAACCGCAGTTTTTTATCATATTATTGTTGTTATTAGGAAGATGCTGCTGCCCATCTCCTTTCTGTGTCCCTCTGTCGCCTCTTACGACACCCACGGGAAGATATGGGGTAGTGGATATTCTCAACCGCCACTACACGGCTAATTGTTATGATTAATATTTTTTTAAATAAAATAATAATAATAATAATAGTAATATTTTGTCCTCAATGACAGTAATGTGAAGTTTTTTGTTATAAGTTGTTGTGTTGAAGTTAGTTTGAAATAAAAGTTTATCACTTTCTAGGGTATTATATTAATACATAAAATAATCCCTAAGTCGTGTTCTACTTTTATAAATATCTGTAGTTTGTTTTATTTATTTTTAATTTAATTTAATAAAATACAACTAATAGTACCTATAGAAATAAAGGTAATTTTATACTATCGCGGTCTCTTGTTTTTTGGCTCTAGAAAATTGAAAAATCATAAGATTTCGATGATTTTTTTTAAATCTTCGCTTTTACGGTGGATTTACGAAAAAAAATACAGGAATAAAAAAATTAAAACTTATATTGATTTCAGTGATTTAAATGTTCATGAAAATGCACTCATTCACGTATAATTGTTGTTAGCTTATTTACAAATAATCAAATGAAGTTGTTATTTTTGTTTTCATAATCTACACGAAAAACGAACATTAAAAACATTGCAAAATGTTTGTTTATAACATTTTTAATTTGGTGTTTTATTAAGTGAAAAATCGAGCGAAGCGAGCTCGGGACTTTCGGCATTCCGACTCGAACAGGTTAGGTTAAAAAGAAATGGATATTCACTCGCTTCGCTCCCTCACTCGACCCCGCCATCTCCTTCTAACCTAAACTAGCCAAGTCGGAATGCCCGAGCTTGCTTCGTTCGATCTTACACTCAATAAAACATCAAAATATTAACTTTTATAATTATTTCGATTTTCTAGAGCGTTTATGATAACATTTAAAGTCAGAAAACCATATAAAAGCTTTAAGTAGGATAAAAAATTAATAAACAAAAATATTTAAATTTTTTAAATGTTCATTTTTTATGTAGATTAACAAAAAAATTCGTTTAATGCTTTGCAAAAAACTTATGAACGATTATCATGATCAGACATGCTTGCGTGATTTATCTTTATGTAGGCTAATAAAACGTCGGCAAGTAGTGAACATCAAAGATGTGTTATCTAGTAGTCAACATTATAAAGCCTGCCATCGACTACAGCAGAAAAGCGTCGAATCGAAGCGAGCTGCATTTATTCCTAGTGCGTCCATCTTTGAAGAATTGTTCATTCATCGCAAACTCTTCATCAAATTAGGTTGTTTTTGCTTCATGGACAGCACGGATGAAGAGATGTTATATTTCAAATACTTTTTGATGAATAAGAGGAGAATAATAGAAAAAGGAAACGGCGTGCCTCAAACACTGAATACACGATATTTATATAAAAAGAAATAACTATGGCGAATGTGGATATATAGGTGGATTAAACAACAATTAACCTCGTACCGATAGGCGAAGTGTAGGACGACCCCCCACTAAATGGAGTGACGACCTGGTAAGACATGCAGGAAGTCGATGGATGCAGGTGGCTCAGGACCGTGCTTTGTGGCATACCTTGGGGAGGCCTATGTTCAGCAGTGGACTTGTGAAGGGCTGTAATGATGATGATGATAAAACAATCTTGGATATTTTTGGACTAGTGATATCAATAGTTCTTCATTTATTTTTATTTAAACGAAGAGATTTTTATGAAAACGAAATAGAAATTAATAAAAATAAATTGGCGTGTATCCACTTCTCTGCGTTGACTGAGGTGCGCCGAGTTGAATTGAATCGCATCCACGAAGAAATTCGCCTGATAACAATTCGTGCCGTCGATTCAATTCGGCGCGCTTCGGCTCGTCGCTAAATGGACGCAGTTTCATAGTATATAGGAAGCGACTTTCTGCGATTCGATTCAACTCGGCTCGGCGAGCCTATAATTATTATTATATAGTGGACGCGGGCCTTAAAAGTACAGGTTTAAAGAGTACGGAAATGATTAGTAGAAGTACGTTGAACATTGCCGGTATATGGAAAAAAATGAATGATCCAGAACAGTGCAGATTTTAATTTTTGGCGTTAGAAGTTTATTGACAAAAATAATAAGAATTTATTGACAGTGTGTTTAATTTTTAAATTAATTTTTCTGTGATTTTAATTTGAATGTATTTTACCTAGGTTATGGAACCTTTGACAGATATGTCAACACCCTGGTGACAATTTTGGCATTTCATTACTTTTCACTCTCGTAATGTTAATAGTTATCTCATTATTTAAATCCCTAAATAAACTATGGCAAAATATATTGCCCAAATAATAGTTTTGGGTGCTCAAGTCGTAGGAAGAGCGTTTGCACGAGCTTTGAAGCAAGAAATTGCTGCGTCACAAGAAGCTGCTAAGCGAGCTGGTGGAGGACCACAAGGCGCAAGACGAGCAGCTGCCAACGCTTCTACAGGGCTAACGTTAGAAGAAGCAATGCAAATTTTAAATATAGATAAATTAGATCCTGAAAAAGTTAAGAAAAATTACGAGCATTTATTCAATGTCAATGATAAATCCAAAGGAGGATCTTTCTATTTACAATCAAAAATTGTCAGAGCAAAAGAAAGAATAGATGTGGAACTGAAACCAAAAGAGTCACAACCAGATTCAAATAAATCTAAGGATACATCATGAAATTTACTTCAATAGTACTTTTTGTAGATATTTAGTGAAAGGGAAAATGTTTTATAAAATACTTTATTATGTAGAAAATGGACACAATAGTGACTAGAATACATCAGTCTTCATAATATATAAATGTTGATTATGTTATAAAATTACATTTAGAACCATCTATGTCATACAGTTGACTGCTAAAATGCTAAGCATGATATAAATTAATATATTTTGCTAAGCACATGTTTGTTTTTTATTGTTTAAGATAAATAGAAACTTCAAGCATCTAGTTAGTAATGTTAAAAACATTAAAAAATTATTGTATTCATTGCATATTAATTCAGTAACCACTGTAGTGGTATCTCATACATAAATAAACTACTTATACTGTTTCTTGATCTATGAATAGAGCTTCAATTGAACTATGATGAAACTATTACATACATACGAAGTAATTACGTACCTTCAAAGTAATTTCATAAATATGCTGTCTAGAAAATGTTAACTTTTTGTCTTAGTTCCTATTCCAACATAGATCATATAAAATAATATTCTTTTTTCATTGTTAACGCTTTGTGCAAAATCTTTATATATATAATAATTTGTGCACATGTTCATGAATATGATGAATCTTCAGAAATTATTAGCTGCTGTAGGTCATATTCACACAATATATTTGTTTGGTTGAGATGGTTCATAGATATCTTAGTATTGGATAGCTGGTAGTGGTGTTATTAATTTATTAGCAAATTGTATGTTTGTGCACCAAATTGATGAAAATTTTGGTGCCGAAAAATAAATGCACAATCCCTGGACCTAATAGGTGGCACTATAGCCATGGTATTAAATAAATGTTATATTTATACTGCAAAAAGTGTGAAGAAAATTTTACAAAGGACAATAATGCCAGCTAGTTATTTCATAATATTATTACATAAGCAGCATGCATAATAGTCTAAAGATTCACTTATCATTTTCAAAGTTGATAATTATATTTTAAGTTTGCATTTTCTAATTCTTTACAAAAGCATAAACAACATTCAATACACACACAACATAATTCCTTAAAACTACAATATGTTATGACTTGTGACTAGAAAATAATGTTAAAATTATTTTGGAAATTGCTAAATACATGAAAAATTGGAAGAAATTGAGCAATGGAAGATATATTTACTTCATAAGAAATTGTTATTTTAAATTTTCTTAACATTTTGACACTGACCAATTGTTCCCCTTCATTACATGTTTATCACCAATAGGCCTCCCTCCATTCATTAATCCCTTAAAACTTCAATATTTGTTTTCCAAAAATAAAGTTCAAAATAATCATAATTGTAAATAAATATTACAACCTAAGAAGGTACATAAACTGTAAAAATTCATACTGACTAGATATGACTAATGAATTTAATACTAATGTTAAAACTTCCCTTCATCTTACTTCAAGGGTCATAAAAATATTAATTAAAAAATTGATATAGATATGGCAGTGATATTGACTAAATACATACATAATTTGAATGTCTTAATTATGGTTTTACATCCATCAAAATAACAACCTCATAAGGGCTGCACTCTGACATACCCAACAAGTTACAAAGCCAACCATAAAAGCCTTTCTCAAAATCACAAACATCTTTCCACCAATTCGCTCCACTGAAAGTAAGCTGCACAATCCCTGCATACAATCCTAATCCAATTGTAAAGATTACTATTAAAAATGGATATGATAATATAACTACAGGGGCCAATAGGGCCTTTTTTATACAATTGAAATTTTCTGTAACATGTGAAAAAATGTTGTACCAGGCTAGGGTACCTATATAAAATGAATAAACAGCTGAAATGCTAGTAACAAATGGAATGCAGAGTAGGCTGAATATAAATATATGTGGTCCATTATAAAGAGAGCATTTGGACACATCCATTTTATTGTATTCTTCAGCGACAATAGCTGCTTCAATTATCTCAAGTTCTTCTCTTGATATGTTCAATTTCACATCTATATTTTGGCCTTTTTTCTTTCCCCTCTTAATTGTACCAGTCATTGTTAAATATCCATCTTTCGAATTGTCAGTTAATGAAGAAGGTGAAATAGATCCCTCTGATTCAACTCTTAAATTAGTTATTTCAGAGTCTATGTTCTCGGATTCAATTACCCCTGGAACTATATTAACTCGCTTCTTCTTTTTTGCACTGTTTTTAAGACTATCAGTGAGAGGTCCCATTTCAAAACTATTTTCAGATTGGGTCTGTGACATACTATTAGGGGTAGCACATGAACTTTCATTATTCTCTGAATTCAATATCCTGCAGCCGTTTTGTGTTTCAGTTTCATTAGCTTCTCTTAAATCTCCATGGCTGGAACATGCATCTGAAGAGTTTTCATATATTGGAGACAAATCAATAATTTCACGACTGTTGTGTATGGTAGAAAGGGCCTGATAGCCATTTTTCTTAAACTTCTGTTGTGAATCAACAATATTATCATCAGGGCCTTCATCAGTGACATCATTTACGATAGGAAGATTAATTTTCATGTTAGACTTTAGACCTTCCATAGTTGAATGAATGATTCCATTGACCACCTGTTCAGTAACTGGCGAAAGTCCATTTTTATACTTTGTTGGTATTTCATTATCAGCTACTCCCTGAAAATTAAATTCAAATTAGTTCATCTTGTTTAATTAAGGAGGTTGTTAAGGAGTATGTTAGGGCTGAATCTGAGAGACAGGGTGAGAAATTGTGTAATAAGAGAAGAGTGTGGTTTGCAAGGTGATGTGACCAACATTAAGAAAGGAATGCTTTGGTGGTTTAGTCATGTAGAAAGAATGAATGAGGAAAGAGTGACAAAGCAAATTTATGTTGCAGAAGTGTACGGAAGAGTCTGAAAGGGACATCCTAGGTGAAAGTGTATCGACCAAATTGGCAATATATTAAAAATGGGCCAAATTAAGAGTACTCTTGACCAACAAGCAAGTATGCGTAGGTATATAGATGTGGAGGAAGCGAGTGTTGTGTCAGGATCATGCCAAATGGAAGTCTGTAGTCTCTGCCTACCCTTCTGGGTGACTGGCTTTCTGAGTATTTATGTATGTTTATGTTATATTATATATTAGTTCAAAATATACCATAAATTTTCTTTATTGTGTTTAAACACCTTTGCTTTTGGTACTGGTAATCCATATAATGAATTATTACAGCCTAAGCATATTCTACTCTAACTTATAATGAGCCTCCTTTCTACCAAAAAAAAAAAACTGCACCCCCTTGCTCAGTTAATTTTACATTATCAGGTTAGAAAAAAAAAACAGTTATCTTCAATAACACCAAATTTAGAATGCTTAAAAGTTAAACAATATCATACAAAAACGAATTAATTATATAATCTATTTCTTATTTATTCAAATGTGATGGATGAGCTTGCATGGTATACACAGATTTTCCTATCCAGCTTAACCACAGAAATTGCACAATGCAAAGCACTATTGATGTTACTAGTAAGTTTATTTCTGTGTACTTAGTTTTTATTGCTACAACAGCAAAAAAATCTTTCGCACAAATATGTACAGGGATGGGTAAATACAATTGAAGGGCTTCCTATCCTATTTTGGGATAAATTGTGAAATATTTGACCCAAAATCACTGTTTCAACAATTTTTTTTTGGTGCAATGTACCCAACGTCTTCTACCTAACTCTTGGTCGTAAGATCCATAACTATGCAGCTAGCTTGTGCCGCCCCTTGCAGGTCTCCGCACCCCTCACTTTGAAAACCCCTGTTCTACCACATCTTATTACACTTTCTGCCTATCATACCTAGTAAAATGACTGGCAACTTTTAGATTATTGATAATGATAATATATTTTAACTAAAAATACTTCTACTTTCATTACACTGTTGACATGTGAATATAAATAATATTTTTATTTTTATTAGGTGTTAATTTTTGTAGTAAATGGTTTTGGTTACTCGTCGCCTTCATAAGCGACTTTTGAAAATGAAACAATTGTTTTTAAGAGAAGAACCACCTGCACGGTTATAATATGATCAACATGACCCGCCGTAGCATTCTGTTTCTTCCCATTTCGTTTCTTTGGTAATATAAAAATCGGCTGTTCCACTTTCGCCATGACTGCTGACATATAATTTTTATTTGTACAAAGGTTTGTATAGGCCGCCGATAATGTAGAATAACGAAGTTATGACTGAAAATTAGTACACAACTTCAAAGTATTGGCACATAACAATATAATTTTAAAATACATAGCGCGAGCAAATTCTGTCGCAATAGAATTTTAGAATTTGATGGATTTGATGTTTTAAAAACATAATAAACATTCTTGCTCATAGATAAATAATTAATAAATATCACAGACACAACTACTAAGAGGATTGTATCTATGGCATTAATTAGAGTAGATTGGAGTCTCTGTGGTAGAGTTCTAATACGTGTTCTACATAGCGTAGACGGAAAAACCTGGAAAAACCTATAGACTATAATATTATAATGATTAACGTGACCTCGAGTGAGAAACGACTATAAAGAGGTTTTCAACTTGTTTTTAGCAGGCCGCTGTCACTCTTGCTACCTGCGTGAAAAAATTACCTAAAATCGCGAGGCGCCCTGGGCGTTATACGCAGTCGGGGCTAGCGCGATGTAGGCGATTCAATGTTAAAGTTTTTTAACGTTGTTTACGTAAATAGTTTTATGTAAATACTTGCTGAAATAGTTTGTGTTTAGTATATTTAATTGTAGGTAAAAATAGTTGTAAAAGTTTTAATGTATTTTATAAAATGATATATTATGTATATTACCTATTTGATAAATTACAATAGCAAAACGTCGTTCCCGCTTATAACTGTTGCGTGGATTTGGTCTACAAAAGAAATACCTAGGTACTTTATAACACAAATTAGTTAAAATTTACTTCACTATCCAAGTATTTACTTACATACATATGTAATTAAAATATTATAAGTTATAATAACACAAAATACTGAAATTAAAACTTTGTTTACTAGCAAGATTTTTATAATTAACATTTCGCAATGTATTTTTTTTACTTTCTTTTGACATCCATTAATAACCACGGAAAGACTGCCGTGACTTGGAAGTGGAAAAGATGCAAAGTAATTTGGACACTAACCTGCAGCGATAAAGTTTTATTTAGCTTGCGTGCGCGATTTATCAGATTAATAATAATTATGTAGGCTACTTAACGTCCGCAAGCAGTCGACATCAAAGGAGTGCAACTTCTGTACGTGGTACGATTATTTATTTTGTGGTTGTAGGTTATACAATATATATAATAAAACAATTGAATTTTATACGTAATACCAGATAAAATGTACTATACTTACGAGTGAAATGATATACCGGTGAGTTTACGTTCACTATCACTTTTACATCCTAAGACACTACATGTAACCATTTTTTAGGTTTTTAATTGTTCTAAGAACTGAACTGAACAAGATTCACCGATCTTAATCCCACAAAACATTTTTTTTCTCACTTAAACCAACTTGTAAACTCCTTAGATCGCTACGAACTATCAAAGTTGATTAGCAAAGTGTAGTTTGCTAAACAAAAAAGCCGGTACGGAGAAAGGGACAAACAATCACACTGCTCTGTCTCATTTCTATGCAAGACGTATGCATAAATCTATCTTTTTCGTGTGCGAATGCAAAAGAAGGCCTCAATTTGTCTATAAGTTTCTCTGTCTACGTCGGCTGTGATGTCATAACGGTCGACGACGGCAAACATGGAGTATAGAGGTAAAGAGGATAATCTCCAAAATCAAAAAAATCTTTCTTTGAAAATGTGTCCATCCGTAAGTAGTAAATAACAGTTCAAAAACTCGGTGGTACCACGACTTCACAGAATACCGGCGTGAAGTGGAAGCTGTGCTTCCGCGTTTCGTCTTGTGAGTGCAGGTGGCCGGAGGCCCAAATCCCCCCCCCCCATCAATATGGTAGCGGAATTAAATGATGATAGACTACCCCAGGAGGGTTCCAGCACCCCTGGAGAATCCCTTGCTGAGCATTCACGACCATGTTTCTCCACTTCTGAGCACGGGTGCTCGGGCTACTCCGCGTATTCTGGGGGGGGGGGGGCAAATTCCGCTCAAGACTACAACTGCTCGGGGAAAACAGAGCAACAAGACCAAGGCGACCCCTGCCACGCTGTCCGTGAATTTCTGCAATATCAGGGGACCTCACTCTAAACTAAACGCCGTCCACTACCATCTCGAGACGGCGAGGCCGGTCTGCTCTTTCTGACCGAGACGCAGGTGTCCTCTCCGGCTGACGTCTCGTATCTCTCCTACCCGGGGTATAAACTGGAACACTCCTTTGTGCCTCTGGCTGGAGTTTGCGTTTACGTCAGAGAGGACATCTGTTCTCGACGCCTCGGCAGACTTGAAGGTTCGGACCTGTCCATCCTTCGGCTACGCATAGACAGCGACGACCATCCGCGCGTCTATGGGTGCCTCTATAGGTTCCATAGCAGTAATGCCGAAACAGACCGACTCTTCGACCTAGTCCAAATGGCTACAGATTCGTTCCTACAGCAGATCCCCTCCGCAGAGATCGTGATCCTCGGCGACTATAACGCCCATCACGCCGAATGGCTTGGTTCACGTTTAACCGATCATGCGGGAAGATCTTTTCATGATTTTGCCTTGGCATATGGTCTGACACAACTGGTTACTTCGCCTATGCGGATTCCAGATGTGGAGATTCATGCACATTCCCTGTTAGATCCTCTGCTGACCTCTCACCCGGACGGATATCAGATTTCCGTCGACACCCCTTTAGGCTCCTCGGACCATTGTCTTGTCCGGAGTGTGGTGCCACTCACGCTGAAATCGCAGTTGCATTCTGTAGGCTGCCGCCGTGTTTGGCACTATAGGTCAGCCAATTGGGATGGGATGTGGTCTTTCTTTGCATCCTACCTTTGGGGGCGGGTTTGCTTCTCGCGGGACAATCCCAACGTTGTTGCGGATTCTGTAGCTGATGTATTACTTTAGGGTATGAAACTTTTTATTCCTTCCTCTGTGGTGCCCATTGGAGGCAAATCTCAGCCGTGGTTTGGTCGCTCCTGTAAAATAGCATCATGCTATAAGCAGGAGTGCTACCAAGACTGGGTTGACGCATCAACGTCCCGGGATGTAAACACCAGTGCTCTAAAAAAGAAGTATAATTCCGCCTCTAGGTCCTTGAAAAGTGTCATTGTCAGGGCAAAGTCAGAGCACATAGGCAGGATTGGCGAGAAACTAGTTCGCCTCCCTTCTGAAACCCGTGCATTCTGGTCTCTCACCCAGGCTGTCCAGGGGAATTTCTGTCAGCCATCTCTTCCATCTCTGCACAGGGAGGACGACTCACTGGCCAATACCGCAAAGGAGAAAACCGATCTTCTAGGCTCTTTCTTTGCGTCCATCTCGACTCTCGATGACGGGGGTAGTACGCCGCCGACCATTCCGCGGTGTGAGTGATCCATGCCGGAAGTGCAGTTCACACAGTGCTCGGTTCGCAAAGCACTCCTCTCCCTGGACATCCACAAGTCGAGTGGGCCTGATGGAATCCCCCCAATTGTGCTGAGGACGTGTGCTCCAGATTTGGCACCGGTTTTAACGCGTCTTTTCCGGTACTCCTACTTCCTAGGCGTAGTCCCAAAATCATGGAAGACGGCTTTCATCCACCCGATCCCTAAAAAAGGCGTCCGCTCTTGTTCTCTTTGTTCTCCAAAATAATGGACTCCATTGTAAACTGCAAGCTCATGAGGTACCTTGAGGATCACCAGCTGATTAGTGACCGCCAATACGGTTTTGCCGTGGTCGGTCAGCTGGTGATCTTCTGGTCTACTTGACTCAGAGATGGGCGGAGGCAGTAAAGTGCAAGGCGGAGGCATTAGCCGTTAGTTTGGACATTGCGAAGGCTTTCGATCGGGTTTGGCACAAAGCGCTTCTTTCGAAGCTCCCTTCCTATGGGCTTCCCGAGAAATTGTGCGATTGGATCACTAGCTTTCTTGCAGATCGGAGCATTAATGTCGTTGTAGACGGTGCAAGCTCAGATTGCAAGCCTATTAATGCTGGTGTTCCACAAGGCTGCGTGCTATCGCCAACGCTGTTTCTTCTGCATATTAATAATATGTTGCAAATCCGTAACATTCATTGCTATGCAGATGACAGCACTGGTAATGCTCTTTACACCGGCTGAGCCAATATTTCTCGGGAAAACGTCTCCGAGTGCCGGGACAAACTTGTGTCTGAAGTCGAGTCTTTGGTGAACAGAGTCTCGGATTGGGGGCGACTAAATCTAGTCCAGTTTAATCCCCAGAAGACACAAGTTTGCGCGTTAACCGCTAAAAAGAACCCCTTTGTCGTATCTCCTCAGTTTCAAGGCACTCCCCTTGTTGCCTCAGCCAGTATCGGAATTCTCGGCGTCGACATATCGAGTGACGTGCAGTTTCGTGGTCACTTGGAAGAGAAGGCCAAATTGGCCTCTAAAAAGCTTGGCGTGCTCAGGAGAGCGGGACAGTATTTCATGCCGGCACACCGCCTGCAACTTTACAAGGCGCAAGTTCGGCCGCACATGGAATACTGTTACCATCTCTGGGCTGGGGCTCCTCAGTACCAGCTCCTTCCATTTGACCACATCCAGCGCAGAGCGGCTCGAATCGTCAGCGATCGAGTGCTTTCCGATCGGCTGGATTCACTGGTACTGCGTAGAGATGTTGCATCTCTTTGCATTTTCTTTCGCATATACCATGGAGAGTGCTCTGAGGAATTGTTCGGATTAATCCCAGCCGCCAAATTTCGTGAACGTACTACGCGGCAAACGTCCCGATACCATCCACACCATCTGGATACTTGGCGGTCCACCACAGTGCGTTTCAAAAGGAGTTTTCTTCCGCTTACAACCTCTCTATGGAATAGTTTACCACTGGCGATTTTTCCTGACCGATACGACCTGGGGACCTTCAAGAAAAGAGTTTACTCCTTTCCAAAGGGCCGGCAACGCACCTGCAATTCCCCTGGTGTTGCGGTTGATTATGGGCGGCGGTAGTCCCCTAACATCAGATGAGCCGCATGCTCGTTTGTCCCCTCTTCTATATATAAAAAAAAACAGT